AAACTAAACTACATTAATACTCAACGTAGTGAGTTTGCAATTATCTTCAATTATTAAAATGCTTTTTATCTATTCGCAATTAAAAAAGATGACTAATTTTGGAGGAAACTTTTTCAATCGCTTATGTTTTGCATCATTTCAAGAAATAAACAAAATAAATGATGTAGTTTTATTTGATCTCAGATATTGATTACACACCTGTTGTTACGCACCTGATGTCCCCTTCCAACACTTTTACAAGGCTGAGAAGGAAAACATCGAGAGACATTTTAGATATGTATATGAAGGACATGCACTTCTATTTTAAATATATATGGATATGTCACTGGGCATAGTCCATAATAATAATGGCACGTGGCCTTTGTTTAGACCGTAATAACTATTATTACAATTTATATTTATATATATTACTTATTGTCATTTATAACTGACAGATTGTAATAAAATAAATGGAGTTTAAAAAAAAAGATATTGATTTAATTGTAATCATAGTTCCGAATTGTTTATTTGTTTATTAAATAAATTTACTTAGAGTCAGAAGACAACTGTTATGCATATAAGAGGTCGTCTATTTGAATATGCTTTCTTAACATAATACTTTTTCTGAAGTAATTTAAATTAATGCCGATAATTTTATCCTTTCAAAGTACATGACCTCAAAAGTAGGTCAGGTTAGGTTCTTCCGGCGACCCAAAGAGATCCATTACCGTATAGGGAAAAAATTCAATGGTTTAAGACCACATTGAAGATTTGGCAAAGCTTAATCTCAATTAGAGTATTGTATATCCTTTTAATGGCACGTGGCCAATGTACACATAGATGTCTACATATCATTAAGTCTTCCCATCTTTTATTAAAAAGTACAGCATAGAACGATCTCAGTAACAGTTTACATATTTCCAGCGATATGCACAGATCGTTAAAGTGTTCTAAAGCACTCCGCTTTAGACTACCTCAAATTTATTAGTTAAGTACATTTTTTACTTAAATGATACTATCACTGAACACTAATTCACCGCGATGTTAAGCATATTTCAAGATGTTTGGTTGATATAGTAGGATGTAGGATTATGATGTTTAGTGTTTAGTATATTGTAGGATGCACTTTACCAATTTCTCTTTTCATTGCACGGTAACACTTCAATCTCAACTGTTTTTTTTTCTTTAATGTAATGCGAGTGACATATGTTCTAACCATTCTCATGTCGTTCTCTAAACGACACTCTAACCTTCCACAAAAAACCAAATTAAATTTGTCTAATAATTTGTCCAAAACCAGTGTTTTAGATTTTTAAGCTGAGTTTAATAATTTTGCTCAAGTCTCTGGTTGCTGACAGTGATAAAAAATTATGATTATATTTTTCAAACTTTATTTTTATTATCCTTTTAACCTTGGGTTGATTTAACAGTTTATGTGAATTTCAAATTTAGTACAAATAATTTTTTTCACATTAAAATATTTGTTCATTTGTTTGACTTTATCTATTGTCGTTGTGGTTTTGTCATGTGGCACATTCATACATGAATAACAACAACAACAACAACAACTACAACAGCAATAACTAAACTGAAAGTAATTTTGTGAAAATATGCTGGTTGAAAAAAGTTTCCTATTAGAACAATAACAATTGAAATATCAACGAAAGCCAAATGTTGGACGATGCAAAAAATAAACAAAAATACTAGTCCAAAATGTCCTAAAAACAAAAATAATAACAAAATAAATAAATACCAAAAAAAAAAAACACACACAACAAAAACAAGAACAATTTAATATATCGATGTTTGGGGGATTTTGTACTTGGTATAATCGTTCTAACAAATAGCTTCGCAGATATCACAGACAACAATGGGGAATTGCCGTATATTATGTTAGTATACAAAATTATTGTTAGTACTTATTTATCTATTAGATACTCGTATTAGAAAAGAATGGAAAGCATAAATATTTCTGTGCAAATATTGTTTACTCGTCTTATTGTTCACTTGCCGAGTGCCAAGCAACGAGCAATGAACAACGAGCAGTGTTGGAAAGGTTTAGGAAATGTAACTATGTGCGTATTTGCCTGATAACGTTTGCACTTCCTTCAAGGAAATTTTAATACTTTGCGGTTTTGTCGTACAAGATAAGAGAAGATAAAACTTTTGAAAATGTTGTTTACTAAAATTTTTTATTTATTAAGAAAAATTTACTGCTATCATTTTGCGAAGTTTGCTTGTTTAGTTGCATTGCAATGCAGAAAAATGTCTGTTCTCAAGATGTTTTGTTTGGGATAAAAATGTTAAAGTAGAAAAGTTTTATTTACGAGTATAACAAACTTATTTCAGTTGAAGTATTTTTGGAAGACATGATTAAGTTTTGGAAAAATAATTCGACTAAAATAGGAATGAGTTTCTATCAACAAAACAGTCCCAGATCACGTATATTATTATTTTGGTATTTTGGTTAGGAAGTTAATGATATATACTTTACATGATTTAATGTTTTCAGAACTAAAAGATTAATAATATCACATTAGTGTTGATACAAGAAAACTAAAATCAACAAGGAAGGCAAAGTCCGGAAGATGACTTAATCAAATAAGCAACCAAAATTAAAACCTTCCATGAAACTCCTCCATTAAAATTGAAGAATACTTTTGATCGATAAAACCAACTATGAGAGATTACTTGCAGTAAAAGTTAATGAGAAGTTGAAACAGCGCATCGCTGCAATTAAACTGTCGTCTATTATTACCTTAGTTGACAACTCTCACTATAACTCAAATATGTGAAATACACATGAAGTGATTAGACATCAGTGGGATCTTAGATTAGCTCACGTTTTTTGTTTTGTTTTCGCTTTTGTTATGCATTTAGTTCGGCATGTTTCACTAACGTCTGTCCTAACCAATAAATAATGACTCCTTTGAAGATGAGTCGTGCTAACATTGGTTAAAACTAAATATATGCAGGTAAAATAATTACATTCATTTACCTTTATTTAATGTGGAGTTTTATGGTCCAACCAGGTTAGATAGGTCTAGCTCACTATGTAGAAAACTAAATCTATACTTTCTCAATTTTTATTACTTAAGTATTATTATTAAATATTCAAGTCAAGTAGTAAGATTAAGATTAGTAAGTAATTTGATTAGAGTAAGAATAGTTAGATGAGTAAGATGTATTGTACTCCCTTTATAGATTTAATATGTTTTTCAAATCTTGACTTTTTAAGAATTTGTAGTGTCAAACCTTTTTGCCAGGTCCTACTTCTGAATGCTATAATAAAATGTTCATCTAAAAAGCTCTTTTGTTAATTTTACATAATAATTAAACTTCAAAAATTACTATTAATGGCTATCTGCAAGATATTTAGAATAATCTTCCAACTAGCAGTAGTTCTTCTTATAATACTCATAATATCAAATAAGTGTCCCGTTATCTACAAATCTATTCTTATCTAAAAACTATGTTGTCCTTTCCAATGAACTGCATTCTAATATATTAGTTTTTTACTGAAATGAAAAATATTTTTTTTTAACTAAATAATTACCCTTAAATAAACTGCCTAAATTTTATGTGGAAACCGATCTCTTCACTTCACCTCTGCAAGAAAGTAGTTTTCTTTTACAATGGCCTAGTACTGCGTTCCTTTTTTACCTACTTCGTCACTTTTAGGAAGAGCCAAACAACGCATATTTTTAGTCAAAGGACCTTTGGGACATTTGTTCGGTTAATTTTGACTTTATGTGTGATGTTTTTTTTTTTTGAATTAATATGAAAACGAATTTCTTGATGGCTGTCAGCTAATGCGATATTGTCTGACTTTTTACTTTTGTGGCTTTCGCTATTGTTGTATAAGCCTTAGATACATTCCATTGTTTCTTATTGTATTGACATGTGTACGCCTGACTAGATACAAAAATTAACACATGGGTAATGAAGCAAAAAACGTCAAAACGTCAAACACACACGATGAAGTGATTAAATAAATACAAATATTAACAATTTCCTTTTGAAAAGTGAAGGTAGAAGAAAAATATTTAGAAAGTTTCAAAGTTGATTGCTGAAACGTACTCGTTGGATTGATTTTATTCTTACGAAGTTATTTATGAAATAAAAATACCAAACTAATTATAAAGTGTGTCAGATTCATTCAAGTAGATTAGAATTAAATAAATTTAATTTTGTGAATTAGTATATTAGCTTGAATTAAAGTTTAGTTAATTTAAATACAACTTAAAATGTGAACTACATTAAACAAAATACATATGGAGTGTGTGTACGGGATAAGTATAGTATTGCTTACATATAATAACCATATAAGCCTATCATTCGGGATCAGAACTCACTATAAATTAAAAACAGCAGAATTTAAAATCTATTAACTATTGTAATATGAAATTATTAAATATTAAAGCATTGAATTATTTAATACTGTTATTTATATTTAAACTGCCACTCTTTCCATAAAATATGTACTAAATCCTAACTATAATATTATCATATCAAGAGTATATTGATCCTCATTGCTAACAACTGTCATCAGGATTTTGATTGCATTTTCAGGGCGCAAAAAACCTTTTAATTTACAAAAAATAAAAAAAACCATAAATATTTTATAAGTTAGTAGTTTTTACATTAACTCTAATCTAACTATATTTTAAATTAAAATAGTATTAAAAAATGCTCATCAAAAAATATCTCAAAACTGCAAAATCCGATAAAAATAGAATGTATCTGTATATAGGAAAAGTTTTGTTCATTTCTATCCTCCTCCATCAGCAATTTGTAATTTTTTGTAATTTCAGAACTTTATTTATAATATATATAATATATAATAAAAAAGTATATATAATCTAATATTCTAATGTTAAGGATACTGTTTCCATATGTAACAGCCAAAAGAAAGATTTAATTTCATTTGCTGTAGAGTTTCTCCATTTGTTGAATTTCTACAAGTAAAAGAAACTTCTAATGAAAAAGAGTTGTGTGACCAAAATGAAGAGGATAAAGTCTTTAAGTAAATGCTCAAAAAATATATTTATTAGATACAAAAATGTTTAAAGACAAAAATGAAGTGGACATATCAAGCAATCTTACTGTAAGCAGCTATATTTCCACACAAAACGTTTAGAGCAGTCTTAGGTGGTCGCGGTATGCATTGGTGCAAATGACATTTCTCCATAGCATGCTGGAATTTACACATAAATCCCCGTTCACTGCCGATTGGACCCACTTTATAGTCACAATAGTAACTATATGTTTTCGCAATTTCAATGCAACACTCAAGTGCTCCTTTTTCAAAAGTTATCCAAGACTTGAGTGGTAGTAGATTTATTTGTAGGTTTTGGCGAATAATACCGGTAACAAAGACATCATCAATCCAAAAGAATGGTGTCTTCTGAGCTTCTTTCGCTATGTATTTTGATGTCAATAAATTTGTTATGTAAAACCAACCAGATACATAGTCAGGATAAACACTTTCTGAATATTCTTCCATTGGAACATACCATTTGCTTGTCTTATTACGACTTGGTTTACCAGCTCTAAATAGTGCACCAGCTAAAAGTTCACCAGATGAATTGTATGTAGGATTCTTAACTAACTCGTTTAAGTAATTATGAATATGATACACATCATAGATAATATCATCATTCATTTTAATAACGAACTTAGCA